CCGTGGGAAACGCACGGCCCTCGCTTCCCGACGTCAGCTGCGACCCGAGCTCGTACCGCCGGGAGCGGCCGCACGGCGCCGGACCACACAACGGGCGCGGCGCCGACACGTGGCGCGCCGGGCGCGGCGGGCGTCCGGTATGGGGACGGCGGGCGGTATGGCAGAGCAGGCGCTGGCCCACGCCCCGGACGGCGGCGGTCAGTCGGCCCTCAGCACGCGGCCGTGTCGCGCTCGGCGCCGCCGGCCCGGCTCGGCCGCCGCGCCGGGTCGGCGGGCTTCACAGCGCAGTCGACACGCTCCCGAGCGCCGGCTCACGGGGCCAGCCACCCCGGCTGCCGGGCCGGCCGCCCCGCCGCCCTCAGCCCGCAGCACGGCCTCACAGCACGGAACGAGCCGGCAGCGGGGTGATGACACGCCTCAACCCGTGCCAAAGGTCGCCAAGGGCTGCAAGGATGTTCGCCCAGCCGGCACCACAGCAGCGGAAGCGAGCCCGGCTTTCCATCCCGCCGGGGCCGTCAGGTCATCATATTCCGGTTCAGAAGACGGGGCTCTGGGTGGAGCTGAAAATGTGCGCGTTAATTCAAGCATCTTTACCGTATTATACGCGGAAGTCCTGTTCTTCCTGCGCTCCTTAAAACCACGCAGTCAAACGGCCATTGTCCGTAACTAGGTTGGACTTCGATCGCAATGATTGACGTAATTGTCAAACTGAGCGACGAACCAGCCATCCAACTGGAATGTCGGGAGCTCCGTGTGTTTGAGGGCGGGAGGGGGAAGTTGAGCGTGCAGCCCCGCATGGGATACTGTTTCTTGTTTTGTTTTTAACAAAACATTATGTGTCTGGTTTGTAGTGTAATGAATAAAGTTAGAAACATGCAAACAATGCATGCCTTTGACTACATTTAAAGAAGTGCGCCAACTGCCCTCGCCACTGCCCTCCGGACTCCGGAGGTCAACGGCTGAGTCCACAATCGGGGCGTTGTGACGGTCGCAGGTCGACGAGCCGTGGCCGACGCAGGTCGACGGGCCAGTCCGAGCATCGCACCGCTCCCCTGTACAACATAGTTTGATCATGGCGACCGGCTGGGGCCGGTGCTGCCTCTCCCCGGCGACACCGGCTCTCAGCTCTGGGAAGGGACTGGTGTCGCGACCGATCGCTCATCGATGCCCCGCCGGTGCGCCCAGCCGAGTCTGAACGGGACCGCGGCACGAGCTGGCGCTCGTGCCGCGGTCCCCCGGCGCCCATACCCGGAGTCGTTCTCCAGGCCAGGCGGGAAGTCCGCACGTCAGGAATCATGCACGTCAAAGACGACATCCCATCGGTAATCTAATGGACAAGAGTCATCAATCGTCCAAAGCGTCATGGATAGCGTATCAGTCGGTCCAACGTCGCAATCTTAATTACGGTAATTTATGCAGATGCGTTTCACTCCACGTGCAAATTTTCTCACAGGATGAGACAAAAGCCAACTGTGCCATGGGTGATGCGTGTGAACTGATGGCGAGTATGTGATTTGTCGCGACCAAATCGACCTCTTCAGCCTGTTTGGATCCCACCTCACGGTGAAGGCAACACTGGATTGTCAGCGCCAAGCAGCCGCAGATAAAACTATACTAAAAACCGCTACGTAACACATCTTAGGTGGCTTGTCACCCAGCGGAACAAAAAGCCGGCCCGAACACCGTGCCACTTTTCGCACAGCAATCGCCGGCAAAACCACGACTCGAGCCACGATCAAACAAACCCCAGCAAAACAAGGTCGCCGCCGAACCGCGGCCGCGCGAGTCCTTGGTGAGGCCACAGTCGACGCGACCTGTTTACTCCAGCGTGTTTACTACGGCCTCCCGCGGGCCGGCCACGGAGCGCGGTCGGGCGCCACGTGCCACCACAGGTCGGTGTCTCGGCGACGGGCGGACAGCCGGCGGGCGCGGGTCAAGCGGGCGCAGCGGCAGTTGGGCGCGCCGGGCGCGCGCTCAGCCGCCGCAACCTGCCGGACGATGTCGTCGGGGAGCCCCATTCCGTCCGAGACACATTCGCGAGCCGGGGCCGCGCCCGAGTCACGCCCTGTGGCTGCCATGAGCGGCACTGGTGTCGCTCCCACTTCAGCGAGGTGCCCTCCGGACGAGCGGCGGCAGGCGTGCGTGACGTCTGCGCCTGAGGCCAGCGGCGTTCAAGCTGGGAGGACAACCGTTCGCGGCACCGGCGCCGGAGTGGAGTCGGCCCGGCCCGGCCGGCGCCGCGGCAGGGCGTCCCGGGCCGGCCGGACGTACCTCGCCCGCCGCACGGCCGGCTCCCCCGCCGGCGGAGAGCACCGGCTCTGAGTCAGCCGCTGACGAGCGGCGGACAGGAATAGAGGGCGGCGCGACGGGCCCGAGCGCTCCAGGCGAGCTCCTCTGTAAATATACGCGGCTCGAGGGCCGGGCAAGCCGAAAAGACGGCAGCCGGCAGGCGGAGCGAGCGATTGCTACCTGGTCTGCCGGCACAGAAGCTGGGTCTGCCGGTGCAGAAGCTGGGTCTGCCGGTGCAGAAGCTGGGTCGCCACACGAAACACCACCCCGCTAACAGACGGGGACGGCCCGCCGCAGCCGTAGGTGCGCGCCACACCCGCAGGCGGGGCGGCACCGGTGGGAGGCGCCACGCCGGCAACGCGCCGCGAAAGTCGCCGCCGGCCCGCCTGACATCGCAGCCGTGGGAATCCGCCGGCGGCCGCTACGAGTCGGGCCGGCACGCGGCACGGCCGGACACCGGAGATGTGGGGGGCAGTGACGCCGCGATGACGTCGGGCGCGCGGCACGGCCGGCCGGACACCGGAGACGCGGCGAGCAGTGACGCCGCGACGACGTCAGGCGCGAGGCACGGCCGGCCGGATACCGGAGATGCGGCGAGCAGTGACGCCGCGACGACGTCAGGCGCGCGGCACGGTCGGCCGGACACCGGAGACGCGGCGAGCAGTGACGCCGCGACGACGTCAGGCGCGAGGCACGGCCGGCCGGACACCGGAGGCGCGGCGAGCAGTGACGCCGCGACGTCAGGCGCGCGGCACGCGGAACAGGCGCACTCAGCGATAGCGGGGCGGCGGAGGCGGGTAGGCGATGGCAACTATGACGTGGTGACGGAATAGCGGAAACGGTCATGTCGGTCGTCGCGCAAACAGGAATGCTTCGTTATGCTCAGTATGCAAGGAGCAAATCACGTGATATTGCTGTAAGTGTCGTTCAGCACACTGCTAGCAATGGTCAGCGAAGTAGATAATAACGACTGGTATCCGTCTCTGGAAGCACCTACACATGAATGCTGGGTTAGCGTTCCTAGGCTACATCGAATGGCAGACTTGCTGCCGCATTGTCCCAGCAGGGAAAACGAAGGAAAAGCGCACGGCACTTGGAACCACTGGACGAGGCACACGGGGCCGACATGTCCGGAGAAATGGTGCCGAGCGTGGGCGAAAGTCGGCGCTGCAAGCTACTGACGAATCGGCCGGACAAGATAAGGCGGATCCCAACGAAGACAAAGCTTGAAATGCACCATCGGCTGATCGCCTTCATCGCAGTCATACCGTTCTCCTGTGGCTACCGGCTATGGCGTTAATGTCCATAGATATAGGCCGTACCGATGGCTCACTTGGTTAGACTTAGAACGCCTGCCTTCCGATTCAACCATCCGATTCAGCCATCCCTTTCAATAGCTTAAGGCGCTCACTTCTCGCCCCCATCTGGGGTGACCTGCGGCCGGTGGCAGCAACCGCGCCAAAGGTCAGGTGATGTCAGAGAATAGGGCGGACCGTGCAAGCATTGTGGCATGTTTTCACCGCAAAAGTCTGCCGCTGACCCGGATTTTCCAGATCGGATGATGGGATCAGCCTCCGGCAACAAGAACTGTTAAGCATAGGCGCTGATCCTAAAAATCCATCCAATGAAAAGTTTTGGACGGCATCTCAAACAACATAAAACCGGCAGATACACGATATTGTGGGCTTCACTGTTTGGACAAATGAAGCAATCCTTTCACAGTACACGAGGCAATTTTTCTCGTGACGTTCACCAACAGCAGGCTTTTGAAAGAACTTTTTTCAGGCGAACACCAATTGATGCACCAAATACACATTCACCTCTCAAAATTTAGTCACCAGTGCGCCTCGAGACGCACCATCCAAGGGCTTGAGCCCCGACCCAGGTTCCCTCCCTCGCAACCAGGCCGCATTCCGGCGGTTTGGCCCGGGACGTGACGACACACCATGGCTCGGCGGAGGCGAGAGCTTACCCCGGGTCACCACCAGGTCAGACCGGGGCTTGGTAGGGGCGTGGGCCTATCCCGGGTCACCACCACGGCAGACCGGGGCTTGGCATGGGCGTGGGCCTACCCCGGGTCACCACCACGGCAGACCGGGGCTCGGCAGGGGCGTGGGCCTACCCCGGGTCACCACCACGGCAGACCGGGGCTCGGCAGGGACGGGGGCCTACCCCGGGTCACCACCACGGCAGACCGGGGCTCGGCAGGGGCGTGGGCCTACCCCGGGTCACCACCACGGCAGACCGGGGCTCGGCAGGGACGGGGGCCTACCCCGGGTCACCACCACGGCAGACCGGGGCTCGGCAGGGGCGTGGGCCCGCCCCGGGTCACCACCACGGCAGACCGAGGCTCGGCACGGACGGGGGCCTACCCCGGGTCACCACCACGGCAGACCGGGGCTCGGCAGGGGCGTGGGCCTACCCCGGGTCACCACCACGGCAGACCGGAGCTCGGCAGGGGCGTGGGCCCGCCCCGGGTCACCACCACGGCAGACCGGGGCTCGGCACGGACGGGGGCCTACCCCGGGCCACCACCACGGCAGACCGAAGCTCGGCAGGGACGGGGGCCTACCCCGGGTCACCACCACGGCAGACCGGGGCTGGCCATGAGGAGCAGCACTGACCCACGTCACCACAGTGGAGCAAGCTCAATATGGGGGTGACCCGGGTCACCAAACGCCGGCCGGGTAATGAGTGACCTGGGAACTGACCTGCGTGTCGAACACGTTGCAGAGAGTGACCCCGAACTGGTGAAAGAGTGCGGCGCTGTCGTTGCGACAATCATGCACCACCTGGGGGTGACAGCCAGAAGACATCAGATGCCTACCATCATGATGTCCATGCTCAAAAGCCAATGAACACTCACTCAACCTTCAGGGTGGCCATTTGTGCTTGTGATGCTAACTGCACTTTGATGTTTATCTATATTTGTATTATAATTGATCTTCATTTGCTGTAGAGGTTATGATGCTGGCCAGCAAACACCACTGGAGCTAGGGAGTTATCAAACACATTAAAATGTCACTTGACTAGCATACTTTTGTTTGACTCTGAGAAGAGTTTGAGTTTGAGTCAACCCCTGAATAAACTTATTTTTCCTGAGTCAGGTTGGCATCAACTCCATTGGATTGGGCTTGTATATATATATATATATATATATATATATATATATATATATATATATATATATATATATATATATATATATATATATGTAGCAAAGTTCATTAAACCAATCATTGGTCAATTCTCCAAATGAAGTCCATAGGTAATATGACATACTCATAGTCTGACAGTGTGTCTGCAAACTAAATAAAACCTAAACATGAAGAGGACCTTACACTTCAAGCTCAGAATCCTTAAGCTTAGAAACACTATTTGCAGCCACTAGAACTGCCACCAGTGCTCAGAGCAGTCAGTGATATCCATCCAGTTCAGTTTATCCTTGATGCTCCATGTCATGTTGGATTTGATTGTGTCCATGCTGCATGGTAAGGCTTCTCACATTTCCACATACTTTGCCTCATTAAAAGGATGTAACATGCATGCAGGAAGACTTGAAAACCATTGCTAGTATTAGAATAGCTTGTATATTGTTCAGCCTGTTTTGTCAAACTGTAAGCAGAAACTCAATATATTTACAGCACTGCTTAGAACAAGTGCATGAGTGCTTTCATCATACCCCTTCTTTGATATCCAGATGGACCTACCTTAATGATGCTCTCCGACTGCAGAAGTTTCCCCAGTTCTCCTTCCCCCATCAGTTCCTGGTTGGCCAGAAGATCAAAGATGTACACTTGACCTGAACACAAGCACACTTGGAGCATGGTCATAGGACCACTAGGCCCCAGATTCACACCTTCTGCATCCACACCAATTGGGGAGCCTGCCTCTATCACACTTGCCACAATGCTCCTACACTCCTTGGTGTTCACTACAATCCTCACATTTTTCAAGTTCCGTTGGGCTATGCTTTGCTCGGACAGAGACCCTGACGTCTGAGAGTTGTATGCATTTCTTGTCTGCTCAGTGTTCTGTGCTATTGTCTTCATGAGGATGTTTCCCACTCTCTGCTTCAGTGTCTGCTGCTGAAAGTTGGTTGGTGGGCAGGTTTGCAGAGATGCAGGTGGACTTTGGGGACTCTGGGCTGGTTCTTGACTTTGACAGGACTTTGATATCTGCTTTTCCTTGAGAGGCACTAGGGTGACAAGATTTGAGTGAACTGAAAACTTGTTTGAGTACATCTTGATGAAGGTGGAGAGGTCTTGGGGTGTCTTGAAAAGCTTTGACCACTTCTCATATCCAAAGTATGATGACACATTGCTGAACAGCTGATCAATGATGGTGGGGCCATTCACAGACAAGCATGTCTGAAGAAACTCGAGAAGGTCCCTGGTGAGTTCTTCATCTACCTTGGGCTGCTCCACTTCAATGTATGGGTGCCTCTCCTTGTCCTCATCTTCTGTCAGCATCACTACTTCATCTTTAACAATGAAGACATCAGGAAACCTCTCTAGAAAGTCATGGAATTCCTTCACATGTTGTCCTGATATGTGGCGAACTTCAGGGGGAGCCTGAGATCGGTGACCAAGCAAAGACTTGATTGGAACTTCTGTGCCTGGTCCATACTGCCTCAGCTTGTTGCTAAAGTAGTCTGATGCCTCTTGTGCATAATCCCGAGTTCCACGCCCACTGTTGTCGCTTGCTGATGGCCCAGCAGAGAAGTCCGTCACATTGACACTATCACCTTCGATGGTGAAGATAGATGGGTACTGGCTGAGGAACTTGTGGAGTCCAGATTGAGATCCCCCAGCAATCTGTCTCATCTCCTTAGTGAATCCCTTGGTTCCGAACTGGCAGCTGAGGTCATGGAGAGTCCTGGGCTGACCCTTCTCGATGAGACGATCCAGGAAGAAGAGAAGAGTAGTATTCCGGACGTAGTCATAGTCCTGACCGTTCATTCTTGCATCACACCCCACCCTCACTTGTTACACTTTGGCACACTGGTCGGAAGAAAAGGAAAGAGAAGAGAGCCCGCTACTCTACTAAACGTCGTGTCTGCGGCACGACATGTTGCATTCTTGATGGGTTCGAGATTTCGACGATAGATGGCAATGAGCGTCAGAGATCGCGCTGATCTTAACACATGGTCAAAAGATTTGTACGATATTTCTCATTCACGTAGAAGTAGAAAGTTACAGTGCATTTTGAAATCACTCGATTGCTTTTATGGCTATTTTTGTCTTGAAAGTGTGTAATGGCTGACTGAAATAGTTCTTCAAAAACATTTGCATCACTATGGACCGTGCCAGAGACTGTATTAAACAGCTGACGTGGGAAACCAGGGCTGGGTGCGTTTGGCGCTGTAGAGACAATTATCAAGCTATATTGTCCAGCGTTTATTGGTGCGGCGTTTCGGTGGTTTGGTGCTGATTGGTAGCAAATTTACCGCATTTTTCTGTGCGCTGAATTGTTCTGTACGGAGGGGGTGCGGTTGCATAGGTGCTGAGCTACATAGTGATTTTACAGGCCCGTCATAAGGTAAGCATTTGTCTCTGAATGTGGGTGATTTTGACCCGTCTTACCCCGCTTGCATTGCAGCCGGACTTTCTGATGGGGATTGGGGCGTGGACAACCATTCAAATGCTTGGGCTCAGTAATAGACGATACCTTGTGATGCTGTCTAATGCTAATCATGCCTGATAAAGCAGTGGCATCACAGCAATTTCACAGCACACATCGTAAATCAGGACACTAAAGTAGGTGCATGGAAGCCACCAATTGCAGCACTTAGGGTCAATTTTGAAAGCAATTATAATGGGATAAAGCAAAATTCATGCAGAAGGCTTACAACAAATGCTTCAATAAAAACACTACAATAGATAATGGTACAGCTACAATGACAACAATTAAGGACAGACATCAAATGCAACAATACAATAAGAAACATGCTCTCTATGCTTATTTTCAAATTCCTTTTTTCAGTTAAGATTTCAAATTATTCACTTCTGCAGTGTTATTTTCTTAAATAAAACCCAATAATTATCAGAATTTTCACATCTTGTAGTAGGGGAGTGCTTTAACATTTGGCCACCTACATGGTGAGGATGTCAGTATTTTGTCATGTTGCTGCAACCCCAGCTTTTTCACTGTTTCCCCTTGCCTTGCTCAGAATTGATGAACCAGCACTGAGCTAGGTGGTGGCCTGTCCATCATTCCTGCACACCCCACTGAATGTACTTTAGAACACTACCAGGCCCACGCATGCCCCCTTTACAGCCTCAAGGCATATGAATTATTGTGTGGAAGTACCTTTATGCCTGGAGTTTCTTGCGGTGACTCCCATCAGTGACAGGCAGCATGAATTTGTTAGGCTAATTAAGAAAGCAGAGGTACATGCTAAACCACACTTAGCAGCTTCCCACATGAAAAGCTAGTCTTAAAGTGCAGACTAAAGGGCTGATGGGAGAGTTCCACTGGATCTTAGTATTCCTTGGTATCAAAAATAGAAGACAGTTTTCAGGGGCATATGCAGATTTTAATTTTAGGGACAGGACCCTGCGATGTCTAACTAAAGATTCATGCTGCATGTAGACAAATTGTACGTCATGGCACAGTGCTAAAGCACCTGTTTTTTATGTGCTTATTTTTACACTTGCCATGATTTTTGTATTATTTACATATATGCAAATTTATATTGATTTATGAGAAAATGCAGGCCTGGTCTTGAAACAATTGTCACTCATTTCTACCATTTGCTGAGACTGCCCTGTATCATTGCCAGGACCCATACATGTTGATAAGCTGGGCTTCTTGTGATCACTTGGAACTCCTGACAGCAGTTGTGAATCACTTCAGGAGCTCTATTCATTAATCTGCCTGGGCATTCTAGACTGCTTGGGCCTGCCATGTTAAGTTTTTCTGTTTGCTGAGAGGATACTCACTGTCTGGGGGTTTTGCTGATTCAGAGAGATCTGCACACTTGCCAGGGGCCCCACATGTTAACCTACCTGGTCATTCCCAGTCCTTCAGACAACCACCACATGGGTCTTGAGTTCCTCTCTGTTGCTTGGAGGAGCCAGCACTGTTGATCCTGTGCAATTTTACATCAATTCTTGGTTAGCAACACAGTTGCACTCAGAAGAAGCTAGTTGCGCATGAGCTTATGTCAACATCAGGTAGACATAGTTTGACCAATGCCACATCAGACAGCTTTAAAGTACATAAGTGAGGGTGTGTAAATGGTCTACTCAGCCAGAGCATTTCAGTTGTTGTTGGCCCGGACAACATGGCTTCATCAGATGGTTGAAGTCGACCTCTGGTTTGGCAACCCACCGTGAATGAATGCTTTTGTCCGTCAAAGGCTGGTTTAGGAACAAGACTGTGTTGTCCAGTTATTTGCATCCAGCCAGGTTGTTGTAGAACTGGGTCATGTGCTTCCCTGTTGTTGGTATTGAAGTGATGGCAGCCAAAGGATCCTCTGCCTCTATACAGCACATGGCCAAGCTCCTGTGCCAGTTGGTTGCCTATTGCTGCACCATTTCAATCCACCTCTGGTCTTGCTCATAGAATGGCTACCATGTGACTACCATGCTCCAGAACCATGATGTGAAGTGATAGAACATGACAGGAACGCATGTGGGGAGGGAGATTGGTGTGGCCCAGTTGCCAGAACAATCATCCTTGTTGGCAAAATGAAAACACCATTGAAGCCTGAATGGAAGTGGGTCTCACCACTGAAAAAACGTGTCCTACCACAATTTACCTGCAGATGGGACAATCCTATGAACAAGTGGTTGTGTTTTGAATATCTGCGCTGGAATGTGTGTTGTGCTGATATGAGAATTACATGTGCAGTATGTCACAGTGATGCTTGGTACTGATCCCTGGACATTGTCCTAAACACTGCAGTGAAGAAGGGATTTCATTTAGAAAGCGTTTGGCCACCACAGCATGTGATGCCCCCCCCCCCCCCCTCCACATCTTCAAGTTGTCAGCATGACTTCCCTGTTCGCGCATTTTGTGCTGACCTTGTTCTTGATGTCACCAGTATGACGATGCTGATGCGCTGGGTGTTTATGGCGGCCGTGATCTTCGGCCCATGGATGGCCATCTTCACAAACCGATACCAGTCGCCTTGGCTGGACCAGAACCGACAGATGCTGCTGTTCTACCCCTTTGTCCTGATCGCCGCGTTTGGGGTGAGACTTATATATGTATATGACATTGCCTGCCTGGAATATGCAGTTTGAGAAAGAAATGTGTCATACAGGTTTTTTGGTTGGCTATGTTACAGACAGTAGTCTTTTAAGGATGGCAATCACCTCTGGATGTTTTCACCAACACCTTCCACAAGCACTGTGCAGTACCAGTTGTTTCTGTGAGCAATGCAGTAGTGATTTGTGGGGCACCTAAAAGGCAAGCAGCCATATGAGTGTTATAGTAGTTAATATCTATAAAAAATTATCAAAGAGATTAACAGACCCACCACAGTTAAAAGTATAATCATTGCAGTCCTCGTGGTGGCTAGTAGCTAGCTGGAAGACATATGTTAAATATTCCAGCCTGTCAGCCACAGTGTGTCCTTTTTAATCTTTGGATTAGTTGATGAAGCTTGGGTTTATATACACTAAAACATTAGTCTGTGTCCTGTCCTCTCAACCATCTGACTCGTGCTGCTTTTGATTTTAAGGGAGTGTTCCACCTTTTTTGTACTCTTGTGCCTTTGTACTCACTGCTTTCATACCAGTGACCCGGATTCAGTTGTCATGTAGTCCATATTCTCTGGTCTCAGTCCACATATAGCAAGCAACTTGCAATGTGACATTTCTCATCATGTGGCAGGATTTGAGTGCATTTATATTTTTCCAGAAAAAGTATTTTGGCGAAATGAACCAATTGTAGTATCGTGTCCTTTGTTTTTAGGTCTGAAACCTGTCAACAGTGTTGTTAGCAAATTTATGCTTAATACATACAAGCATGCCATTCCCTCGGTTATGCTGGTCGGCGTGATGAATTCCGAACCTTGTACTGCTCAGACGATGCTACCACTTTTTTGGATGGTGCTTAATAAGCATTTTTCAACTGATAATGTAAACCTCATATCTAGTACCACGAAATATGGTACTAGATTTTAGATACTAGATTTGTGCGGTTGAGACATTAAGGGATATAATCGGTCGCTGTTCAGCCTCGTTCGTGTCAAGCTCTTAACGACTTTTCTTTTCCCAGGTGTATTCTATTGTCGTGATAGCCTGGCGGGTGTACAATTTCAACGACTGCGAAGAGGCCGCCCTGGAGATTCAAAAGGTAAAAGGTCTCATTTGGAGAGCAAGTAAAATGAAAACCAGCTCGTAAGATATGACCTTACACCACTCTATGCTGCATTTACTAACATTTAGACCTAGTTTCTCTACTTACCACTGTACTGGCATTAAACTGCATGCTGTAGCTGCAGCCTATGCGGAATCCGAGCCGTGTACCGGTTAGCGTGAATAGTTGAGCATGTGTGGCAGATCCGATCGGCAAATGCGATTGGATGCTGTCATCGGACGATACACTAGCAATAACAAACCCAATAAATCAAAACATACTGGCGCCCTTACCTGCTACGGATTTTAAAAAGAAGATTCCGCGAAACCGAGATCTGTTTCAGGGTGAATTTATGTGAGCAGGCACTGCCGCGTGATCTTCATGCATACGCCTTAAAGGGAAACACCCCACCTTTTATGCATTTTTCATTTATTGTTTCATCAGACGCATGCAATTTGATCAGTAACACCAGTTTTTGCGAAATCCTCTGATTAGCGCAGAATTTTGATTTGAAGTGGCCGGCCCTGCGGGAGAAATATAATGTGGTCTCCTGCTCGCCGCTATAAGAGTAATACATTTAATTTCCCTTGCTTTTTTGGACGAGTGTGTTCTGCAATATTTGTAATACACTAGTGTGTCAAAATGTTTGTGTGATAAACGCTATGGAAAGCTTGAAACACGCTTAGGCAAAAAGATAAGCGAACAAGGATCTATTATCCCGCGAATTCAACGAAACTTCAGTTATGGCTTCGTGTTCTCCCCTATCGTGGTTAACAGAGTGGCTCTTCTTGAGGCGCAATGTGGCTTTGAGAATGGAGGATCACATGATCCATGTGACGCACTGGCTCAAACTTTAGCCAACGAGTTTCTCGGCAACAAACCTGTGCCCGCTGAGCTCATTACAAACGTCCTCTTATTTGCGCCAGTAGGGATGCGCAGGGTGGTTCTCATGACGACGGTGGTCGGGAATGCGAGGAGGAAGCGTAGTGCTGTTACGAAGTGCTGACAGGATAATGTGGACCCAAGGATGGTTACAATTGATACCATGATTACGTCTTGACGGTGGTGCAGTTTCACCACCCAGTGTTGTTATTTGGCATAACTGGTCCAGAGGTTTCACAAGAGTATGTTCTTTGAAATTTGCCCCAAAGGTCTACGGCCTAGGGCCTGACACTGCCTTTAAGATAGATGCGTCCACCGATTGCAAACACCGTGTTTCTTTTGCAGTAAGTTGTTCTGGTCGCCGATGTTAGGTTACCACACGCCAGGCAGCCTTGCGCGCCTCCATACAGTCTGTGATCCCTGGTCCAGCGGCACCTGTTCATGTAGTCGTGCTGGGAATATGAGGCGCCACCTGACAGCAAACCCGATTAAGACCAGATGTCCGAAAAACATGCGCGAAAGGCGTTCCGAAACGATTTGAACGTGGAAGCAACCCCGAAGATCGCCGTGGCATCTGTCCGTCTATAACTGCCCTATAAGCTCCTGTAGCTGAAAGTTGCGATGCCGCAACGAATGGCCTCTCTGGTAGATAGCCCACGGGCCGGGATCACTGCCAGCGAGTGGACCATCACGACAACTGCGGTCTGCTTTCAGCCCGGTCCGGCGACTCCCGCAGCCGGGCCAGGGCTGGGTGACGCGACGACCCGAGTGCCCGCCGAACGGGCCGCGGCGAGGCGCCGCAAGAAGGGGCCGCCGGACGCGGTGGCTGAGGTTCGGGAGCCGGGCGGCGCGCGGCGCCAGCAACAGGAGCCGCCGGACCCGATGGCTGTGGTGGCGCCGCCGGCCGCCGCGGGGCGCCACCAGCCGCTGCTGCCGGCCGCCGCCGGGGACGCGGCGCCGGCCGACCTGGAGGTGACCGACCCGGAGTTGTACCGACGCCGCGCTGACGCGCTCCTGCAGGAGATCAGCCTGCCCTCGGAGGCGGCTCGTGCGGAGCTGTTTCGGCGCACGCGCCACGACCGGCAGGCGTGGTTCGAGGCGCGGCGCGGTCGCGTCACGGCCAGCGTCTTCAAGCGGATCGCCGGCATGCGCGCCAGCACGTCCTGTCGCAGCGTCGTCGAGACCCTGCTGTACGGCGCCGGCCGGGAGCTCGACACGCCGGCCCTGCGCTACGGCCGCCGGCACGAGGAGAAGGCTATCAGCGCGTACGAGCGCGAGATGGGCTGCACGGTTCAGCGGCCGGTGGGCCTGGTGGTGCACCCCCAGCACGGCTTCGTGGCCGCCACGCCTGATGGTATCATCAGCAATGAGCACATTCTGGAGGTGAAGTGCCCGTACCGGGTCGCGGATGCGCGGCTGGAGGCGCTGGTACAGGACGGCAAGGATTTCTTCCTGGACGAGGAGATGAAGCTGAAGAAGAATCACGCGTACTTCGCTCAGGTGCAGTGCCAGCTGGCCTGCACGGGCGCCCGCATGTGCGACTTCTTTGTGTGGACGCCCCGAGAAACGGTCTGCGATCGGATCACGTTCGAGCCGGAGTTCTGGAACTGGCGTTTGGAGCGCGTGCGCGAGTTCTACATGCAGTGTGTGCTGCCCGAGCTGGTCGACCCGAGGAAGATCCGTGGCCTGCCCTTCAGAGAGCGCACGTGCTTCACCGCTCTGCAGAAGTAGTCGGACACCTGGAGGAGACAGTCTGCCGTTCAGTGCCGGGTATCACTTATAGAAAGTGAGGGGACCCACTCATAGAGTTTAGGTCACCGCGTGACCATAAGATGGCTGTGGGTGATATTTCTACGCAGCAGGTACTGCATGGGATGTTCATATGCGCGTTGTAGACATCAGCTTTTCAGCATTTTGCACGACATTTAGAAGCTGCTGTGCCTGGAGTCGTTCAATGACGTAACCGGGAACTCGCCCTGGTGATGTCAAAGCGGATCACAGCGGTCTATCCCAGCCAGTTTTGAAACAATCACAGCGTGATTGGGAAACTTTCGAATCCCAAACGGAAAGCCAGATCTCTTTTCGGGGTGTAGAAGGCGTTCAAACGATTCCATCGCGACGTGGCAAATCGTATTTTGCCACATCGTGGTGTGGTCGTGTGTCAATACACTACCCGACGTAGTTCAGTCATGGGTGGAGGACGGTGATGTACGCTCACGTTAAGTCATCATGTGAGCTATGGCCGTGAGTTGCACCGGCATTTTTCTCGAGCGGAGAGGGTCGGAGGATTTATGGTGTTGAAGTCGCGTTTGGGATTTCAGGCTGTGTACAATGCCGTAAAGGGCGTTAGATGGCTGTGTGATTTAGGATGCTAAAGTCGAGTTTGGGAGTACAAAGCATCAGCTATGCCGTGAGCTGATGTTAAATGTTTTATGGTGTTTTTTTTTTTAAATCTGCATTGCGATGGCCTTTTGGTCTTATGCCACTTGTCTTGTAATTTGATACAAGGACAATATTTCGAAGGAAAAACAGCCAATCTCAACTTGTGTTTTGTGTCGAAATCCAGTCTTGCCAATTTTCCATAGAGATTGAAAACATGCATCGCCGTCTGCATATTTTGGTCTCATATATTAAGATGAAACTATGTGCACACTGAGACAAAACAGTATCTGCATATTAAGATAAACAGTTTATGTACAAAGTGCAACACCACCTTCGGCAAGCCATTCGTTTCAGTCGGAATGATTAGCATGGTAGTGATGGTAGCAATCATACCCTAAACAAAGTTTCCTTACCGCTTTGGGCGGTGAGCGTGATGAGCGCATGCCCTGGCCGCGGTGTGGCCATTTTAAACAGACAGCGGCCGTCTTCGGGATCGGGGCCGAACATGTGTTTCGAAGTTTTCCCTTGGTTTTGTGCGCACCAAAGTGTTATTGTAGTACCGGTGCATGATACACAAAATATGTTTTAAAATGGGATTACATCTATGAATAAGAGCTTTGTATACGTATTCCTTTCCCGCGCCATTGTTTTTTATTTCTAACGGCTTAAATTCATTATAAGCAGGTTTAGCCCAGGTACCAAAGGCGTTGCCGACAAAGGTTCGCGCGAAGGCGTACTGGTACCCAGCAAGTAAAAGTATGACCTCCACTGCTCACCACACCAATATATATATATATATATATATATATATATATATATATATATATATATATATATATATATTGGTGCGTGCGTGCGTGCTTGCATGACCTTACTGTACGTAGAACTAGAACCGTGGTACATGTGGAAGGGCGTTGTGTGGGCCAGTATGAAATACTTCCATTCACTGATTGAAAAACGTATCTGGAAGAAGGTGTCGCACCCATTTGACATACGTTAGCGTAGGAAACACGTGTGCGTAGCAGTATACTTAGTTGATACCAAATCGCTGGAATGGTTTTATTGTACTTTATGCTTTTTTGGGCGTAGTGTTTATCCTCGCCGCTAGTAATTAGCGCTTTTGTTCGCTTCACCTTTTGCTATTCTTCCCATCCTTATGCGTCCGAGACACCCTGAATGCTCCGTAGGTGTGATATCGTTTGGTTGGGCCATGCGGCGCTGCCTTGATGAGATCTTCCGCTAATTACCACAATTGTGCTTTGCCAGCTGTAAGATGTGATATGCTCTTAATGTGGCCATTGCCTCAGTTGCCAGTACGTTCCCAGCAGCATGCTCCTATTACGCATTGCTAATGCCCCGCGCGTGATAAGTATATGGTGCTCGTTGTCACTAAGTCACTAAGCATATACCCATACCTTCGCAATGTTCGAAGCGATATACCATACCGGTATATGCCTACCCATACCTTTTGTCACTAAGCATATACCCATACTGGCCCAGCTCCGTGTCCCACCTGGAAATCTGGCCTCTAGCTCTGGTGTGAGCTAGTCGCAATAAGATGTTCGGAAACAGCCTTGGGTAACTGCTTGGTGACGATTGTTTCAAAGGCATGTATTTTTAAGTTCACTTAACCAATTATGCAGTCCAAGCAGGTTTTCAGGTGGGCAGGAGATCCGTGCATGGAATGCAGGCGCCGTCGCGTGTTTTGCCATACCTGTCATGCCCTGTTTTTGTACGTTTTCCGCTGGCCTTTACGCATGGAGGTGTCGCTGCTGTCTTTTTCTCAGATTTAGGCACTGCGCCACTTAATGTCTCAGCCAGACCGAAATTAGCTACTACGATGTGGTGTGTTGTATATTACACGCATCAGCAATTTGTACTGGAACTCTGTCGTTCGACCTCTAATGCTCAATAAACGTTGGTGATAGACCCTGAAACAGGACATGTTCTGAGTCAGCGCGGCCAGGGGAAGGCTTGTGGAATACTGGTGCATGGGTGTGGTTTGCTATTCGGTTTGGGGGGTCCAGCCCCCCCCCCCACTCCAAATTTCAGATAGTTGGCTGAATCGGTGAAGAAACCAGTTTGTTAGTGTATTTAAGGGTAGGCTGCGTTCTTTCCCTGCTCAGACCCCCTCCCCAAGTCATGTTGCGAAACTACGCCCCTGTTCTGGTGCTGATCTGACCACTGTGCGTGACGCGGCGCGAGCAAATAACAATTTACCGATGAGGTTAGAACGGCCTGGGGCTAGCGTTGGTGGTGGTCGGCTCTGCACCCAGGGCAAGTGAACACTTGAAACTGATCCGCTTCACTTGAAATTTGTCCCCTCTGCGCCATTTGAAACTTATCAGAGCAGCGAAGAATATCGGCTGCCGCGTGCTAATCGATTGGACATCTGCCAGTTGTGAGGGGACAGGCAGAGTGAAAACCAAAATATAGCGATCAATAGAGCCCACAAGCAAGGGCCTTAGAAACTGCATAACAAGTTGGGTGTGGCTCAAGTAGAGGGTTCCTGCGCGACTGTTAGTCCGTAGCATTGCATAAAGAACAGCGGGAATAATTATAAGCGACCGCGCAGATCATCAACAAGTGGGATAGTCGTCAGCAACTCTTTCAATCGGCAACGGCCAGACCAGAGCCAAAGCAGTCGAATCAAGCGTACTTCCCGACAAAAGCGTACGATGTGTCGACGGCCTCTTGACGAACGTCTTCCCGACATGGAAGAACAGAACCAAGACTCAACCTGGCTTAGTTACTCAGCGCTCGACTGGGGTTAATGAATGACGTAGTAGCATAGGGTTCCTATAGACACGCAAACGCCCTGGTTGGTGGGAGCACTGGGGTCAGATAGCCCTTTATGGAATCGTTACACATATGAATAAATTGCGACAATGCAACTAGAATATGGGCCTTATGATTAATATATATATTTTTCCGGACCGATAAAGGGTCTCTCCATTGCAACGCAAGGCCTCCTATTTCAGAAAAGACCCATTATATAGAATGTGCTCCATTTGAGAAAAGGGACTTCTCAGTTTATAACGTGAGTCTTCGTAGCCAGCAAAGGGCCTGTTGAACCCACAACGGGGCCTCCTGATCTAGACAATGTGGTGCCTAAATCATAACGCCGATTCCTTGGCAGAAAATGTGCCTCTTGATACGAAACGGGTCTACTGGGCCTGATTTTCTCTAGCTCATTTATGCGGTCTCCTTGATCCAAATTGCTAATATGCGTAAGCTTCAAAGCAAGAGCGTAGTTTCGCTAGATGACTTGGGAGCAGTGAGGAACCCACGCCGAAACACGCGACAAGCGGGTTTCTCCTCGGATTTGCCCTAATTTCAACCAAAGTTGAGGGGGGCGAGGCGGGGCGCTGCAGGACATCCTGCAGGACATCCCCACACACCACACTGAACAAGAAACTACACCCTCGCTAGGAAGCTTTAAGTAAAAGAGCTCCTCCAAAGTTTGCAGGGAACAAAAACATCCCGTTCCGCCCGTTACCAGTAGGGAGGGGAGACATTGCTCCCGCCCCGCCCCTCCCCCTCCCTCCCTTACCACCATCTGCTTCGCCGCCTTTGCGCGTTTGCGCTGAGATTAAACGCCGCCTAATGCCCCTCAGCATGCCCCAGCCAGTGTCAACACACGCTGACTGCCAGACATCTGGACTGTGGGAGAGGGCCCTTGTGATCCCGGGGGTCCACAGTCAGGCATGGCACCCCGCGTGTGCAATGGTCGACGGTAGTGAGCCGCGGCACCCCGTTTTTCAGCAAGGAGCAGAGCCGTCCCGCGCCGCGGCCTCAGCTTGGCATGGCGTTGGACGGCGCTCGTGGTTTGAGTGTGAGCACTCCGATGCTGTGTTTGGTTAGCGGCGCGTCTGGGCTACTGACTTGGAATGTTAATTTGCTGATTTCCCCCTCCAAAACGCTAACAGCGCGGTTTGTTTACCTTTGACGTCATCTGTCGCCGCTAATTGTGCTCGCGGCATGTTTTTCTTCGGCGCGCTGCGAGCTTTGCGACGGAAGCGGTGCCTGTCCCGCCTTTTTCATCTGTATCCGCGTTCTGTTACAGTGGATTGGAAATACCGCGCCCACACATAGCTTTATGGTAATTCTACAGATCTATGAGGGCAGTCGTGTAGATCAGATATAAAGAGAGGTATGTGCTGGTGGACGAGAAGCTCTACTCTATCAAGTCATCTATTACGTCCCTGTTTAGGTTAGTGGTGCTAAAGTTTTTTCGGGGGGGGGGGTGGTCATTAAATTGATACGTGTACTTAGTAGATCAGCTCCGCCCACCCACCTTGCAGCCCAACTGGGGAACGGCCCACTCACTCAGGGGGTGTGGTACCGCCAGGCTACCGCAGTACTATGCGGGGCGAACGACGCCTCCCACACGGCAGGTATAACCGGGGAGACTCCTGTCCGTCCTGGAAGGGGTCTCTGTAAAGCGGGAGCCGGTTGTCCCGCAGGGGTCACCGGCGATCCTCCACCTTGCTTCATCCTGCGTCCTCGCGACCTACCCAGCCTTGTCCGGAGTTAGGCTGCATACGTTAGCCACGGGTGAGGCCGAGAGCCCGTAGGAAGGGGGACCCCGGCCGGGTAACCCGCGCATGCGCGGTTTAAAGCTCGGCGGTTGGCCCCCAGACGCATGCACGTCTGCCCACCCGTAACCCATTGTCCTTCATTCCCACAGCCCTGGAATGATCATTTCTGGTCGAAAGGGGCTCTAATACAAAAGCAGGGTACCGGCTTTGGCTGGTGTAGGGGGGCAGCTACCCCTCGGGTCCCAGCTCCGTGAACGGGTGGACAGCGCAAGCTGTTCATTTCAGGGCCTGGCGACCCCTGCCGGTACGTGAGCTCCTGTTCGTTGTCTTGCCGCTTTCTCTCCATCCCAATCGCATTCCGGCGTCCAGCCCCTGTCGCCACTGTCTCGTTCTCGTTTTATTGGGGTCGCTGTTCCCCCTTCTCCCGCGTCCCGGTTTATCATATCCTGTGGGCTGAGGACGCGTTCGCACTTTGGCCAGATGGTTGGAGGGACGCTGGGGGCCGTAGCGTCCCTTAGTGGTTCTAAGGCTGGTCCACCTCGCGCTGCGGCTGGGTGCTCCGTGCTGGTCTCCTTGTGGGGCGCCTGGCCACGCCAGCGGCGGAAGGGATTAAGGGGCGGCGGCGCTGGACCACGGGCGGGACGGGGAGGGGTCTCTCCGGTTACATCTGGCAGCACCACCACCCCTGGGTGAGTGGGCTGTCCCCCACTTGGACCCCGATGTGGGTGAGGAGCCTCGGTGCCGAATGATAAACCATACATTCATGGCAACTTCTAACAAAAGCCAAAAACACCCGCGCTCTTAAGAGGGGGGGGGGGCAAAAGGGGGGCGAACTAAGGTTGCACGGCATACCGCATTTGCTATGTTTTCACCTTCGTCGACGCTAGCTGAGCGTGCCTCCTGCGTGCCGCAACACCACGGATTTGCACGCTTTGCTACGTTATCACAGATGTATGGGGACTCAGCGTGATGCAAAGGAAAGCCTTGATATAATAAAGACAGGCCTTCAGCTGCTATTTTTTGGGTATCATAGCTATTGTGCTGAGTTATAGATCTTCAATAAACCAGGAGCCAGGAGGTACTGGTTAAACGACGTTATAGACCAGACATTGCTTACATGGACAGTGCTCAACAATTCAAGCTGTACCCGATAATACTTGCCCATTTGCGCATACTGAGACGCCTTGTCATCCTCTGCACGTCACGCATTCTGGCATGTGCCATGTCTGCTCATATTCAGCCCCATCATCGGTTCGGCGCGGCTTTGACGCCGGTGCAGATGTGGTCACGGCGGGCTGAAGGGCTGGCTGGCTCCGTGCGGTGTACAGACCAAATCTGGGCATTTGCGGTGCGTTGGAATTCGTGTCCAGGGCTAGATGGGTTCGTAGAATTTCGTATTCGAATTCAGGAATCAAATCATTCAGTCAATCAAATCGCTTTTATTATTCGAATGTTAAAATCGATTCATTGGACTAGCATAACGCGATGAAAGGAGGACGGGTCATTCATTCCGATGCGAACCAGCATATGCTCATTCCATTCAGTTCATCTGAAGGAAGTGTGAGCCCGGCTGATGTAAAGCTTTTATCGCAAACTGATGGCTTTCCGGATAAGACGTAGTTTCTAGGATCATTCCTGATTTCAGCGTTGAAATCCTCGTTTTTATGATCTGAAGGAAATGTGAGCCCGGATAGTATGTTAAGTTTTCATTGCAAACTGATGACTTTTAAGACTCGACATCGTTTTAGGATCATTCCTGGTTTCCGGTATTGAAATTCCAATTTTTATTATTTGAGGACCCGCAAGATGACAACCTATTCAAATCCTGCGAATGCGACCGATCAGCAGCAGTACAGCGTGCCTTACGTCAGGCGTTGTGTGCGCCAGGATGGGCGCTCTGACGATCTGCCGGGCGCAGAGACGGCAGCTGCGGGCCGCTTGCCAGCCGCCCCGACGGCGCGCCGCTCGGTGCCCGAGTGGCGCCGCCGTCCCGGGAAATCCGGCCGCCGTATGGCCGCGCCGGGACCGACCCGGCGCGCCCGGCTGGCGGCGGTCTGCTCCGCTCCAGCTGGCTCATCATGCCAGCTATGGTCAACTCTGGTCAGCTGCGGTTAGGTCCGGCCAGCTGCTGTCAGCTCCTGACAGCTCCTGTCAGTTCCAGGCAGCTCCTGTCAGCTCCTGTAAGTTCTAGGCAGCTCCTGTCAGTTCCAGTCAGCTCCTATCAGTTTCAGGCAGCTCCTGTTAGCTCCTGTCAGCTCCTATCAGCTCCCGTTAGTTCCAGGCAGTTCCTGTCACCTGTCACTGCGGTCGCTTCTTCAGCTTT